GGCCGGCCTGAGCCCGGAGCCGAGCCGAGCCCAGCCCAGCCCCGTTGTAACGGAGCTGCCCTGGCACTGCCGGGCCCAGCATGGGGAGCTGGGCTGGGCGTTTCCTGCGGGACACTGGGGGGGCCTTTGGCCAGTGCCCCGGCTGGCCATAGGTGCTGGAACTGGGGGGGCTGCCGCACCCCCTGGCTTGAAGCGGTTTCCATCATATACAGTTTGGTTCATTGGCTCTCAGCACCTCGCACCCTACACATTGTTCCAGCCCCCCTGCTCTCAGCACCTCCACAGCCTGGAGCTTCACTGCCTGCGGTGGGGGGGCAAGGGGGTTTCCCACTGGCCAGCCCCCACCATCCTCCCCACCATCATACAGGCCCTCTGGGCTGGTGCTAAGGGAAACTGCACTGGAGATAACTGCGGCCCTCAGCCAACCGGGGAGCAGGGCTGCGGGGAGGGGTCACTGGGGCAATGCCTTGGGGAGCCACTGGACCCAGCCCGGGCGCTGCGAGAAGCCCCCAGGGGCTGCCTGTGGGACCCCCGTGCTGGGTAGGGGAATGCCCAGCTTGGGTGGGTGGGTACAGGGGACTACCCTTTGCTGCCCATTCTCCAGGGGAGCTAGGCTATAACTGGGTCTCCGAGCACCCGAACTCTCCACGTCTGTGGGGAGGTGCTGCTAGGGGAGTCTGAGCCTAAAGGGAAGAGAGAGATAGGGGGGTCCCATGCCGCAGGGCAGAGCCGGCCTCTTATCCACCATCTAAGATGCTGGAGGGGGCAGCAGGTCTCAACAGCTGGCCCTGAAGACATCAGGGTTATGGTGCCTCTGAGTTTCCCCAGAAGACAACAGCAGGTAGGGGGAGCGGGGTCTGTTGGGGGCTGGGGTGGTTTTGTGTGTATGGGGGTGCTTAGCGGGAACCTCCCAAGCTGGGACCCTCCCATCACTGCTTTGGGCATGTATTGGGGGGCTCTGTGCACCTTGGGGGGAGGGGAGGTTGCAGTAGTGATGTTGGTTTTGCACGTGTTTCTGCAACATGACCTTATTGTGACAATCTAAATATCATCCTCCTGTAATGATGCAACATGACGATGCACTATGTGGGACAGAACATGGAGGATTTAGGGGACTACTTGTTTGATACCCTCTGTGCCTTCTAGGAGAGCAGATCTTGTAGGGCCTGAGGCCCTGATAATTGATATAACAAACACCCTAAGGGTCACTTGAGTGTGCTCAAACCCCTTGTGTATCAGGGCACCACTCCAGCCCCCTGGTGTATTCAGGGAATTTTCCAGTGAAAAGGGTTTCCACGAAGTTGTCAGCTACGCCCAGTGCCATGTTACTATTTAACCCTCCCACTTCCCACATCATGGTAGACATGAACCAGGGGCAGAGGAATGAATCCAGTTGGTCTTTCCCCTTTCCACCTTGGAAACATCTGCAGGGAGTTGAGGAAACAGGGGTGGCTTTGGTGCTCCATTAGGGAATAGGAAGGAGCTTTGGAAGGAAGAGTGAGGGCCTTAGGGGAAGAGAAGAGAGGAGGATGGGAAAGGAAAGAGCAGAACAGAAGGGGGGGAGAGAGAATTGCTGAGGGGAAGAGTAAACGAGGGGAAGAGTAAACAAGGGGAGACTGAAGCAAACCAGACCTTGAAGAAGTAACTGCTCTGAACGTGGACAGCCGGCGTGACCGGCTGTTGGGCACAGTGCCCTGTGAGAACATGTTTGGGGGAAGGTGCTGCCCCCAGACTCCTGACGGGTCCCCACTATCACCGGCAGAGCTCCGTTGCTTGGGCGTGTGGCGCTGCCTGGTCCTACAGCCTGACCCAGCTGACACCACAAATGAGCAGCGTCCATGTGGGGGTCACATACAGATCTGTAAATGCACACGGGCTGCCAGCCATTCTGATCCCACATTGCTTTCCTTCCCCAGAACTCGGAGGCTGGGTGAAGTGTGCAACCTGCAGGTGGCTTGGGCTATTTGATCTCACACTTCCCAGGATTATTACTCATCTTCCCAAGAAAAGGCACTGCTGAATGGATTGTGTGTTCCTCCCTTTCTATATTGTTCATCGTATGCTGTATATTGTTCTCCCTGGGAGTGAAACATGACGTCCTAGTGCAGTGAGTTTGCCAGATAACGTATGTGAGGGCATGGCCAGTGGCTGGGCTGAGGTGTGTATTGACTGGCCTTGCTGGGTGTGGTTCTCTTGGGATAGTTTTTTCTGCTTTGCATAAAGTGTTGTGCTTGTAAAGCAATCAGATGTTAACAGCCTGATGGCTGCTATTCCTTCCCTGGAAGATAACATGTCACCCAGTCACATCCTTCCTGCGGTTTAGCCGGGATTGACTGGCCATGGGATGTGGGTGTCGCTATAGTGTAGCACAGGGGGCAGTGATCTTCATCTAGGTCCGAGCTGGTGACCTAGAGGTGAAGAACTCTGTATTGGCTTTCCAGTCACCTGAGCCAGACTGGTTGGGACAGGTGACCTAGACAGGAGAGACTCTGTAGCCCGTTTCCAGTCCTTTGAGCTCATCTGGCCTCCTTCATTTTCAATGAGTTTTTTAAAAATACTCATTTCAGTTCTCATTTAGTTCGACATTAGGAGACACGCCTGCGGGTGGGTGTGCACACACACACACGTGTGTGTATTCGGCTCCAAAGAGCAGCTGGCAGGATGTGCACGTGCCCACTGGTGTGAGTGTGTCACCGGCTTGGGCCGAGCGCTGTGCCTAGGGTCCAAAGACGGCTTGTCCTGGCCCTGTGAGTGAGCAGTAATGTGTGGGCAGAGGGGCAGCCCTGGGGGAGTTCAGGAAGCCGGCGACAAAACGGCAGCTGCTTCTGCAGTATTTTGGCTCCTGCAGTGACCCCAGTCGCCCCCGACAGCAGGCCCTGGGCCCAGCAAGTGGCTGCCTTGGGTGACAGGAGATGGAGCTTTGCGTTGTTTAGTAAGTGGGAGGAGCAGCTAGTTTCCAGCTTGCTTAGGGCAGTAGGAGCCTGTTGCCCTGGGCTAGCCGCTGGCAGCACCGGCACAGAAGGCAGGCAGAGCGGCCGCGTGCCTCATTCAGGCTGTTCTCTAGCCTTGGATCGCTCCGTTTCAGGCATTCACCTTTAACCCACTTCCCGAGAGACTCAGTGAACAGATTTAGCACCAGAATATCCCCTTCCCGTTGGTGGTGGGGGAGCCCAATCCATCCTCCCCCCGGGCAGTGGCGGTGGGAAGGGGGCAGCCTTGGAATCTCGTGAAGCCCAAGGACCCGGTTCCAATCCGAAAGCTCTGGGTGTGTCCCCTGTATCCTGTCCTGAGCTCCCCCCCAGCGTGGCTGGATGCGGTGCTGGGCTGCCATCGATCCCTGGTCCACAGCTGCTACTTCCTCTCTTCTGAGCCATGTCAGAAAACCCCAGTGCCTTGTGCCCTGGTCTACGCTAGCACTCCTGCTGCCAGCAGAGCTGCACGGGAGTTAGGCAAAGAGGAGAAAACTAGTATAGACCCAGCCTTAGACTGCAAGGATCTGGTATTTTTCACTCAGCTGTAAATCAGCCCCTCTTCCCACCCCCTGCCACACCTATAAGTATGAGGCTGTTTCAAATAGAACATCGCTGTGTTGGAGAGAATTCTTCCCCTGCTGCGCGGCTTTGGGAGGTGAGGTCACTAAAACCACATGCCGAAGG